TGCATCTGTTTTTCGTAACGCTTTTTAGACGGGCCCTACCACTTCTGGGGAGTTCCTGGCTTTGCTGAGGCACCACCACAGCTCCCAAATCCCAAATTGCTGCTCAGGCACTGCCCTGCCAGGAGATCGCCACCACGACCAGGGTTCTCCACGCCATGGAGCAGCCCTCTACCTGTGGAAGGGTAATGATGTGGCCCCCAATCACCCCACCTGGCCACCAACGGGCACCACTTGCTGAGTTCGTGGGCAGGCTTGAAAAAGCCGAAGGTCATAAAACCCCAATCTCGTTTTACGCTTGAACTCGGCAATCAGAGGAGCTCGCGGGCACACGCAGAAGGAATTTGCAGGAATTCCTTCTGCTTCGCGGCATCTCGTGCAAGCTCAGCCGACACCACCCTCTGCACCCTGGGGACTGCTCAGGTGCACACAACGGGACCGACCCCACATCCCCAGGTAGCCCCGGGGACCGGTGGTGCTACCGGGGCTGTTCTGGAGCTGGGGTCCGAGCATCGCTGCGTGGGAGTGGGATAGTCAGCATGCAGAGCCTCAGGGAGACACGGGGGTTACTCTCCTCTTAGTCTCCTCTGCAGTTCCTACAGGAAGATGCAGTCTCTTCTGTGCAAATAATCCGCTCCTCTAAAGGCAACTGATTATTTCCAGATTACTGTCAGTCCCAGCATGAGTCTCTGACACCAGGTTAGTTGGTTAGAAGGTCAAATGCCAACCCCTTGGGCTCCTGTGATTGACACCAGTTTCCACGGGCAGTAGCAGTTAGTGACACCTTGGACGCCCTAGGCTGGATGAGCAGGGGCCCGCTGAGTCAACCAAAGGCATCCTCCAGTGCGTACAAAAGCCTTAATCACACCCCTGAACAGAGATATTAATGTTGTGTGTATGTCAGACAGACATATACATACATTGAAATATATATATACACGCACAGATATACATACACATTACAAGGTGGCCCAGTCCAGCATTCACTCAACATAATGACCAAGGTCTTGCTGAGTTCTTTAGGGTCAAGGACAAACCACAGCTGAGGACAACCTTCCACAGAGGTTCCTCTTATTACCTACAGGACTGAACTCATGCTGGACAAAGTAATCTGAGGTTTAGCTTCCCAGTTCCCTGGAATCCTGTTTCTTTTTCTCTGATATTAATGTATTATTATGATCATTTGGTTCATTAGTTTTTAGCTTTTCACCCAATCGCATTTTGGAAAATACAAGAGGAAGAAACGTGGTCATGGATGCCTTCAGATGTTTATCAAACCATCTGTTAAAGAGCATCTGAAGCCCACATTTCATATAGGAGCCTCCGTAGTCCTGGCTAACCATATGTTTGTCTTTTTGACATTACAATCAGAAAACAAAATAAACAGAGACGAGATGCCACAGTGAATTTCCAGCCTGATTAACATAGGAGCAATCAAACCCCATTAACCACCCGGATTTGCTGGCTTTCTGTGGTGAGAAAAGCTCCACCACAGAGCAGCCCTCCTTCCCTGGGGTTATGAGGCAGAGAGGACTCATATTTGGACCCTGCATGAGAGCAGCGTGGTCTCGGAGGCATGGTCAGTGTTAACCACTCCTGCAGCGGTAGCCAGACCGAGCAAGGGCAGAGGCCACCTCCCCTGGCCGAGGCAGATGGTAGGGTGGACACAGGGGAGGCTCTGTAAGGAGTTTTTTAAAAAGGGAGGAAAATAAAAAGCGGGGGGGAAGAGGTACGTAGCATGTAGAAAAAGGCCAGCATCTTTTCTGCTCATCACAGCCTGGGCTCCTTGTCACGGGGAGGTGAGCTCCTGTCCCCCCAAGCAGGTCAGCACCCAGCTTCCCGGCCCACGGTGGAAAACAAAACAGAAATGATCGAGAAAGGATGTAACCTGTCTCAGAGCAGCTGTCCCATCTTACACCTAGACCAAATCAAAAGTGACCACCATTCCAGGTGACCCCGAGCCTCCGCCACGCTAACCCCATCGCCTCCCCACGTCCTCCCACCCCGGGGCGGCAGCTCTCCGAGTGCTCTCAGGGCAAAAATCAGCACAGCTGGAGCGGCACCGGAGTCAGAGGGCAGCATCAACACTGGTGCATGGGCAAGACCCCGACAACGGTCCCAGGCACTGGCGGGACGTTTGGGATGCTCCCTGACCTTGCAAGGCAATGCTTGTCTTGCACAGCACGCTCCCACGAGCCGCGCCAGCATCCCTTCTCTAACTTAAAATATAGTAAGATGCAAAATAGTGAAAAAGCCGGTTTTGTTCTGTTTGCTGTAAGGACTTGGTTGGTGTATCAGTTATGGAAAGAGGGATATAGGAAATCAGCCACTCCCTACACATAACTATAATGGGAGGAAGATCCAGCTATCTCCAGATGAGAGACTCTGTTTTCTTACATCGATGGAAACGGAAAGTGGTAAATCCTTTACCAGCTGAAACAATAAAAGTGTGGTGCTGGGATCTGCTTTGAGAGACAATTCATCCCAAGGGGTTTCCTAAGTGAAACTCCTTTCCATCAGCGATAGACTATGGCTGGATGATTAACCAATGGGTAGGCTGAGAAACAGGACAAGTTTTCTCTTCTGAGGGCAGGATGAACACACCGAGCATCATTGTGAGGCTGTTGGAAATCAAAGTAGGTGGGAGATTTGGGATATGAATGTAAAAGATCCAGACACTTTTATTCAGGAAAATAGTTGATCTGGGCCCCCTGAATATAGGGCCTACTGTGAGAATTTCCTTCCTGAGGTCCGAGATGTTATCAGATGGAAAAGGGCAGTGGGAGCAGGTAGAATTGATATTGCCCCAACAAAACATGGAAGGAAAGAGCTTTGGTTCTGCTATGGCAGCTGAAGTGAACAATATGGAAAGGACTCTAATGCCATGTGTACGGCAGCCACAGACCCTTGGCTTAAGGATCTGGTTTAGCATCTTACAATGGAGGGCAACAAAACCCTCAGTGTCACAGGAGACAGATACTGTACAGGAATGGGAAAGGAGCATTTGGAAATAACCCTGATGAAAGATCTACATAGAGTAAAAAATATCCTGAGAAAGGGTGGTGAAAGGCTATTTTTGCTTCTTTCTGTGACTTGAGATTAAGATGTAGAAAATGAACAGGGAAAAACCTGCAACCTCTATGAAGAAATACATCCAACCTCGTGTTTTAACTGGTGAAAATGAGCGCTGCAAGAAAGGTTTGAGACTCAAAAATAAGCAGTAAGACTACTGACACAGAAATAAGACTAGTGCTTGCAATTGCAGGGATGCTGGCTAGGGTGATTTTATGAGGGACCGTTGGTCCTAAGATCTCCTTGGCTATGGAGCTGATCAGGTTGAAGAGAGATTTAATCTCACGGCATGGACATATGCCTGTGAGAAACGAGGATTTACCCTATGATGCATCTGAAGTTTGTCACTGGCTGAGACAGGGTGGGGAGCAGCCAGACCCTTGGGATGAAATGTTGACCCTTGTGATGCCACAGGTGGGTGGCCAAGATTTTAGTCTTGGTCTGCTTCCAGAGAGCACTTCCCACGTAATGCTCCCTGCTTTAATAAAGATGGATGGAGCTCTCGCCGCACAGGCTGAGATCCCACATAAGAAAAAAAAAAAATCTGAATAGTTGAAACATGATCTTGGTGATTTGGATTATTTGGCAGGAAAGAGGACGGAGTGCTACAGAGTTTTTGCTTGCAAAGAAAAGCTCAAATGAAAGACAGAAAAAAGAGTGGGGGGGAAAAAAAGGAAGGAAGGATGAAATTTTCCTCCCTTTAGTCAGCAACATATCTACCCAGATATCTTTGGTTGGATTTTGTGCCAGGGAAAAATTAGTTTCTGGCCTCTTAGAAGCTGAAAGGCACAGCAGAAAGTTATATCTGCAAACTGTCAGGCTCTAGGTATATTTCTGAAAAACATATTCAGTGTTTACAATATTTAGGCTGTAAGCTATGTTTTGAGATACGGGATGGAAGATCTGAAAGCCAAGCATATGATCTCCACAGATCATCAGTTCTGCACCTCACCTCCCAAGAAAAAAAATGAGATTCAGTCCCAGAAATACTTCTTAAACGAACTGGGAAAATACAAGACAAAAAAAAAAAAAAAAAAAAAATCCCAGAATTAAATACTTCTAAGAGGATGAAAAGTATCCTAAAATTATCCCAAATACCAGCCCTGTTGCTTTCCCTGGGACACGTGAATAGAGAAAAGCTTTCCCGTAGGTGAGATTTATGGCTGGCCTTGGAAAGTGCTCACCACATCGCAGAGGGCACCCGGCTGAGCACCCTCTGCCCAGTGGACTCGAGGCATGGAGGGAAGACAGAGCAGGGACTGTGCTTCATCCAGAGGCTGCGAGGCCAAACGGAACGGGGTGGAGAAAGTAAAGGTGTCTCTGCCATGCACGTCGTGCCGTGTCAGAGAGCCCTCCAGTGTCCCACGGAGCAGCAGGTCCACGCAGCCCGTGCAGTGCCCTGCAGCGAGGGGAGCTCGGGGGGGCGGTTGCTAACTCGGTGACGTGGTGACGGCTTCGTGGGCCCACGTCACCTCCGCCTGGCACGGCGTTGGGTGATGGAGACATCGGCAAAGCATCACCTACCCATCGGCACTCATTGAGCCTGCGTTATACCGTTTCAGCTATGACTCCAGCAACAAAAGGAAACAAAAAAAAAAAAAAAAAAAAAAAAAAAGAAATAGCAGCATAAACCAAAGCCCTGCCGTCACCCTGGATAAGTGTCTGCCAGCTCTGCCCGTGCTGCCCGCCGCTCCTTCTAGCCCCCACAGCCTCACTACCCTTGCAGCTACAGCCCGAGGCAGACTGGAAGGAAGATATGATTTAAGGTCCAGCACACACGTAGATACGTTGGACTGCCACAGCACAGAAAAAGCACGTTAATACCTAGAATGCTTCCCTCGATGGCGCCACGACATGGTACACACACGCACACACGTACATAGAAATCTACAGGTAATGCATGGGAATGGCATGTTGGCAGTGATACAGACCTTGGCGATGGTTCGGGCTGCTGCTCTTTCCTTTAAACAGAAGCAATAGTACATTAGCATGGTGTCAGGTGGCAAAAGATGTTGCTGCTTCACTGTTAAAACATAACGAAAGGACAATACCAAACAATACAACTAAGTGGAAGTTGTGGACAGAAGAAAGGGAAAGGAGCACTTAATTCCTCAAGTTTCTGGCCTGGACAGAAGATCACTGGAGACTCACACAACCTCAGAGAAGACACATACAACGCACAGGGCTGAAGAGGTTATCCCAACCCATCCTTGTGCCTACGCATGACTCAGACACCTGACGGTCGTGTGATTTGTGTGAGCACAGGAGGACTTCTGTGGGCTCAGAGAGCGGCCCCCTTCGTATGGAAATGCACCACCCTGAGGTGTTTCTGCACACAGGGAAGGATTTGAATGGATCCCAATGACCTCTGGTGCATCTGCTTTTCCTTTCTGGCCATTGGGACGGAGCTAATGTCAGATCTCTTGATGCACGGCTTCAGGGCACCAGTGCTGATGCGTGGTGCTGGGAGGGGAATGTCGGTGCAGAGGAGTACGGACCCTTGTCCTGACATCGTGACACCCCAGGTGGGCTTTCTGCCTCCAAAGCCTTTGGCAGCTACTTTGCCGAAGTAGTTGGCAAAGGCTACATGGAGGGAGTGGGATGCCACAATTTTTGTATGCGGTTTCCTACTGAGATCCCAAACCATTCGATTGCCCTGAAAAATCATTGACGTTGAGGACAAAGTGAGATGAACGCCTGCAAAAGGGTAGCCATAACACTGCAAGCTAAGCTAAGGCCACACTGAAAAAAATCTCTCACCTTCACTGACCAGGTACCTTGGCAGCAATTCCCTCCAGGAATGAAGAAAACCTGCTCTGACTTCAACTACTCTGATTCACAGCTTCTTCACACTGGGAAATTGCATTTAATCTAGGGCCCCAAAACAGCCTTGCCCCTGCAGCCTCATGAGAGGGAGCAGACTGTGTTTCTCAGCAGATAAGGGTCTGCCTCCCCTAACACCAGATGGTCTAAGGGACAAACTGGACTGCAAGAAGACCTGGGCAGGAGGAGCTCAATCCCTTCTGAGCGTGATGTTGTACCAGCCGTGGCCCTGCCTCCACCCAGCAGTGACCGCTGAGATCTGCACAGACCCCGACACCTCTCCCTTACCCTGAAGGCAGCAGACTGGAGAGACTGGGAAAAAAAAAAAAAAATACCCCTCCACACTCTTCTTGCTCAGACAAGCTTGGAAGCCCAGCCTCAGGCACTAGCTCAGATATTCACATTATAAAGTTTCCAGTCTGACCCATGGGTCAACAGATCTCTACTCTCTGCAGAGTCACACAGCCCAGGGCAGGGCTCATCCCAGCTGGCCCTGATGCCCACCGGCACAGCCAGCATCTCTCCATCCCTCCCAGGGTCTGCACACTCCCCATTCACCAAATGGGGTAACCTCACCTGCTTCAAAAGAAAAAAAAAAACAAAAAAAAAAAAACAAGAATTACCCCTCCTGAGCACATGTTTAAGCTTCTGGTTTTCTGGGGCAATGATGTACACCCTGCCACAGCAAACTGAACAAAAAATTTCTCACCACTAGAACCTTTGTCTGCTCTCAGGGGAGGTGAGAGAAGGCTAGAGGGAACGGGGAATTAATGAACACATCATGGGCCTGAGTCTCCTCTGAGGGTGGTGAAGACCAGAAAGGTCAGAGGCAAACTGAGAATGCTACCTCGATCAGACCCTTTGAAAATATGGTTTTGTGTTTTCAGTCAAGCACTGTAACATTACTTCAGAGCCAAGTTAGGCTGAAGAAATTAATGTACAGCATGGGAGAGGGATGGAAGGAGGTCTCTGAATGACCCATGGGGGACCAGCTGCCAAAAACTCTCATGTCCTCAAGGGTGTCCATATGCAGAAGGCAGGAAGGAAAAAAAAAAAAAAAAAAAAAAAAAAAGGTAGGTAGCAAAGTGTGTGCTTCCCAAGCTCTCTTAACTCTGCTGCTAACCTGAATGTCAGTCCCGATTTGCTCTTCAGGTTCCTCAGGAGCTCCAGCTGGTTCAGAGGAGGAATGAGTCTAGAGGGAGAAAACAAAAACCATTAATATTCAGGCAAAGCTGATTTCAGAGCCTCCTGTCTTGGAAACTTCACCCGCTGCCCCATCCTTTCAACTAGAACCACCTTTGTGCCACCAACTGCAACTGGGGGACAGCGCGGGAAGGATGGAGAGGGGTTTGGCTGCTACTTCCAACAGTGTCCTAAGGCAGAGCGGTGGGGGCAGAGAGAGAGTGTGACAGCAAGAGAGAGAGAGAAACTCGTCTGCACCACCGGATTTTGAACCTCCCCAAAAACAAGTGGCTGCCAGAGTTTCTGAGCAGCGCAGTGGTGTTTTGGCAAGAGGGCTGTTCCACCACCTGTAGATTAGCAGTTGCCATCGCTTTGGTTGGAGGTCAATGCTTCAGCTGTGTCTTAAGTGGAGAGAAGCTCCAGTCTTGGAGGCAAGCGGGAAAACTCAACCCTGATGCTCTTGGAAAGGTGGGGAGGCATGGGAAGAAGCAGCTTATAGGGCAGAGAAAACAGGGATCCGACGTTGGGAACATCCCAGGAAAAACAGCAGCATGTCCCAGCGCCAAGTTTAACAAATTCTCTACTGTCCATGTCAAGTTTTGCCCCAAAATAAGGCAAAATCATGTATCATTGCCTTCTAGGAACCATCGGTTTCCTTCTTTTCTCAGGAAGAAAAAGAACATGAGAATGGGAATCCTGGCCAATAATTTAAAGAAAAAAAAAATAAACAAACACCCTGTTGCCTACCCTGCTTTTGTGCTAAAAGCGAGCACACATTTTTTCAGCCCTTATGAGACCAATAGTTTCACAGTTTTCCACTAACTGAAAAAAAACAAAACAAAACAAAACAAAAAAAAACACCAAAAAAAGCAACCAAAAACAACTGGAAAAGCCTCTTTGCTGCAGACACAAAACTCATCCTCAAAAACACAGTTGTTCAGCAGAGCAGATTTGGTGTGCACAAGATTGAGGCAATCAGAAAACTTTCCAATCCTAAATATGGAGAAAAGAATAAAAATAGGCCTGAATATTTTGGCTCAGCTCTCCAGTACAGCTCTGCTCGCTTCCATCCAGAGAAGAGCACATCCTGATCTGATGAATTAAATGATCCTCTTCACTCAAGACGTCAGGAAGAGGCTGACCTGCAGTGGAACCGTGCATGAGCGCTGGGCTGTCACCTCCCTGCAAACCCACTGTAGGGTTTGCAGATTCATCCCAAAATGGGAGAAGGTGGTGCATAAAATCAAGTACAAAGTGTCCTTAGAAGTTAACGAAGGGTGCGCAACTGTTCTTTGGGGAGGCAGTTTCTCAGAGAGGTCCATACCCAGCAGAACGTAGGACAACAGCCCCACTTTCTCCAGCTGGAATCACAAACCCAGGGCTCCCATCGATGCAAGTCTCAAAGCTGGAAAGTTCATTAGCTCACTAGATTGAAGGATTCAGGATCCCAAAAGGAGCTCCTGCCTTTGCATTGGCCCATAACACAAGGTCTACACTGCACTGAAGGTGGCAATCTCTTGGGCAATCACAGACGCTTCCAAGCAAAGGTAAAAACACAGAAATTTACTGTTTCTGTGGTAGGGTGGTGGGCCCGGTACACATGTGGTGGAAAAAACCCCAATGTATTACTGAAACAATAATTATTAAAAATGGGTGCAAACGCATTCACGTGCGTGACCTGAAATTTAATCCGAATTGAACGCTCGGCCTGACCTGTCATTGCAAGAGCGGCTTGGGGAAGAGCTACTACATTTCACCAGCACCTGAGAGAACAGGCAGGGCTCTGCACAGCACTTTCACTGAACTTTGCTATAAAATGCTGGATGGAGGACACCCTGCACTGGTGTGTGTGCCCAGGGACGGGTGCCACAGATGCCACTGTGTCCTCCAGAGACGTGGTGAAAGGATCTCCGGCTGGGGCATCTCACGTTTTCTCTCTCTCCTCCTGGTCTGTGTGTCACTTGTTAGCAAGGGAAGCATGTTTCGGTTAAAGGGGAGCTAGGTGAGAAGATCTGCACGCCACGGGAACACACAGAGCTCATGCTACCCACCACAGCAACACTTCTGAGTCGCCGGCTGCTGCAGGGGACCCAGCGGTACCAACAGCTGCTTCCCATCACCCTTCCCAGTACAGCACAGAGAAACGCCACACTAACTCCAGGTGCCGGCTCCCCGCATCCAAAGGGAAGGCAAATTTGTTATTCCTGGTAGCACAGATCAACGTTCAAGCATCTGGGGACAGTAGGGATATCATGCCTCCGGCCAGGACACCATCCAAACCCCACAACACGAGGAGGGCAGCAGCGCACAACAGTGGGTGGGAGCACACACAAAAACGCACACACACCACGACCCGCGCGCGCACGGAGACGGTGATGGGTTTTTTTGAACAGCCCCAGTATGACCAGTTAGGAAGAGGGTGACAAGGAGATGGATGCTGGAATGGGAGGGGGACTTAAATGAGTCTCCATGCTGCGTTGGAGTTCCTATAAGGAGCCAGTATTTACCCTAACCCTGACTTTATGTCTCCAGCCTAAGCTATTTTTCGTAACTGAGAACATTCATGAAACTGATAAAACATTTTATTATAAGAAACGGGATGGAAGAGGCACATTCTTATTTCACTCCCAGCAGTAGGAAAATGTCTGATTCTCAAAACAGGCTGTTGTTCAGCACAACAGGAAAATGCATTCAGAACATTATACTTGCAATTCATTGATGCAATTTGCTGTAAATTAAACACACAAAGTGTTAAGTGTGATTTACTATGGCTGTAAAACTTGCATCTGTGAAAACTGGAAGCAGGTTTGGAAATCAGGCACTAAATCACATCAGCTCTAATAGCATTAATGCATCTCATGAGGATTTAAACTGCTCTAGGAACAGAGCTTGGCCCAGTCTTGAAATGCAATCTATTTATTCCCCATCTTAAAATACTGACTTGACTACACCTTCAGATACTCACCTCACATAAAATATCCCTGTGATTTGAAAATCTACTCTTTTCTGCAGAACCTGAGATAATATTATTTATCATGAATCTTACACAGCCATATACAGGTCTTTGCATTTGGATTGATCCCAGAAGTTTTAAGCCCCAGATTGAATAACAGGGGCTAATAACTGTTTGGCTCTAGGTAAGTCTTGGAAGAAAAAACTGAAATGGAAAAGTCCTGCTGAGATGAGACATTCCTTTCCCAAAAATCAAACTGAATTACTAGAAGAAATGAATGATCATTTCAGTTTAGCATTCCAGATCTCTCTCTCCTCCAGATGTTGTCCTCAAAAGCTGCCACCGTGATTTTATTCTCTGCTACCACTGATGCATCCCACGGTGCCACCACACCAGCCAATTCAGCAAACCTAGTGTTACCTGGTGGGTACAGCTCCTATAGCATGAAGTGAGATAAATAACACAATGAAGGATGGGAAAAGAGGGCTGGAGAAAGGGGCATACACAGGAGTGATGGCAAAGGGAAGATGCAAGTATGAACGGGGAAGTTTTCTGGTTAAGCATTGTATGAATTGGAGGAGGTTGGTAAGACCATCAAGAAATCACCCTTAAAAAAGCAAGCTTATCAAGCGCTCTCCCATTCTCCTTCCTTAAATGATCATTTTGGCAGACAGTTTCCCAACACTTGTGGAGTACCAATAGCTAAAATGTACATGGAGGTGCATGGAGTTAGTCTGTAGGCAGCAGGAGGGGGAGTCTGGTTTGGGCTTTCACTCATTCATTTGTAAAAAAAATGATCTTCAGAGGGTTTTTTTTTTTTCCACTTTTTTTTTTTTTTTTTTTTAATTAAAGGCTTTGCATGTTACAGTCCCAAACGAAGAACAAGGAGTGACATGACACACAGTTTCAGAGTCACATGCACTTCATACCTGGAGGCACCGTACGTTTGCGTTTGCGTGCTTTTCAAGTGTTTTCACCAAAGAAAACCAATGGGATAAGAGAAAGAAAAACAAGGGGGAAAGGTGGGGTGAAGGAAAGGGGAAAAGAAACAGAATAAATAAAATTAGCATATGAACGAAGTGTATCCCCGGGAGCAGATGCCCTGTGACCAGGCCTACGGGTGAGCACAGGAGCTTGGGCTGAGCTCGCTCGGCTGCAGCCGGCTCAGAAACCACTGTGTGCCCATGTCACCCCCGGGGACAGGCAGCTCCCACCTTGCTCCAAAAGCAAATGGGCACCACAGAGCGGGGAAAATGTGGGGGAGCTCCGAGAGACCCTTCAAGAGACATCGACAGCCCTCGGTCCCATCCGTCAGGGACTCCTTGGGCTGCACTGCTGACTTGGGCGTGATGTGCCGGGGGGGTTTCTTTTAGTGAAGACCAATATATTAATGTAGTGGAAATCAAGGCCCTGTTGTCAGAAGGGACAGTAAAGAGCAGATTTTTTTCCAGCAAATCCAGTGGCTGATGCATAATAGTTACGATGTCTGGGCGCACCAAGCCCAAACCATACCTGTGCATACAGGAGCCTTGTGCAATTTCAGATTTGGTTCTACCGTATTTTGAATTTCAAAATGAAATCTGAGATTCTCCCGGAGGCCACCATATTTTCCCCAAACGAGCAAGACTAGCTCTACCACAGTGATTTGAGTGATGTTCTGGAGACACATCAACTCCTCTAAGGCACGTGTAACAGTTTTCTCACACCGAGCAGCCAGGCCTCTTGGAGATGCCTTGGAAAGACAGGTAAGCTCAAGTCACAGGGCTCTTGCTATGAGGAGTAAGCAGCCCGATGTTGAGCAGAAAGGATGCCGAGGTGTGACTGCAGATCACCCCCAGGCACCCAGGAGGGAGATGGGGATATTGTGTTCCTCCAACCCACTTCCTAACCATGCTGTGTGTTGCCATCACCTTAATGCAGCGCTGGGCTTGACGTGCTGCTAAGGCTGCACCAGCACCGGGCTGCCAGCGCCTGCCAGCTGGTTTAGTGAAGTGGGTAGACAAGGATAGATGGACAGTGTGAGTGATGGAAGCTGCAGCCAGAACATACAGTTATTCCCTTTATTTTTTTTTTTTTTTTTTTCCCCCATTAGTTTATCTGACCACACTGAAAATACATTCGAAAGAGGCTCACTGCTTTCTCGGTAAAAAAATCCAATTTGACTAACCGCTGAATCCATCAGCGCACCCACGTCTCGCTCTCCCAGGTGATGTTCACTTCACCTGTGCAGAGACACGAGGTGGGATTTAAGGATGAAGCTGGGAGAGCAGAAACCCGTGCCCAGGGATGCCCAGGGTGACACTGCTGCTTGGGGCCAGCGTTGGGAGCAGCACCCACAGCATCAGCCAGTAATACTGCTACAACTTCGTCCTGGCTTTTTATTCAAGGTAGCTGGGCTATTCACCAAACTACATTTTTTGTCCTTTCTCTTCCCCAGAGTTTTCATTTAGTCTCTTCTGGAGCTCTTTAGCTTAGTTTTCTTCCTGTATACTAGCTCCATAGGAAATACAGGTCTTAGCAAGTGGATTAGGTAGCAGGTAATTATCTCGGTATGTCCTCATGCAAAAGGTTATCACTGTATGTCTGGCTGCGTGGTAAATTCAGTCTTTCAAAGAGCAGTAAAACCTGGCAAAGTCCACTGAAATCAGCCCCTGGCTTTCTGCATTTTGCAGCGGACTTTGGACCAGGCTCCAGTTCTCATCCTCTCCAGTAGCTGATCTCAGCCAGTGCTGCAAATGTGCAGTGAGAAGGTCAAATACTGGGAGAAAGAGTTTTGATGGGTGAGTTTAATGCTATTGGAAAACAGTTTTGTTCTGTTTTGTTGGGTTGTTGGTTCTCCGGAGGTTTTTTTTTTATGTAAAAGCTTGAAGTCAGTTCGTAGATCTTTAGGGCAAAAGCAACCGATCGGACACACACTGGGAATGAATTCAATGAAAAATTACTGACCACAACAACGTGACTTCCAACAGGTTTTTTAAGATGGTTTACCAGGCTGGCCACTGTGTTTCAAATACAGGCTAATGTTTACCCTAGAAAATATATGCAGACTGCCTGCCCGAGGGCTAAAAGGCAGCAGTAAGAGGAAAACAGAAAGGCATTCACACCTGCAGTGGCACAACCTGGTGCTGCACCACAGCTCTGCTTGGGAGCAGGGAGATGGGGCACAGGGAGCCCCATCATGCCAAATAAAACCCCACAAAGCTACAGGAATATCTAACAAACACGTCCAACTCCTCTACAAACCCAGAGAGATCTGGCTAGCCCCTAAAAACGCGCCACAAAGGGCTGCACGGCCCTGCCCGGGGTGCAGTACAACATGAAGTGCAAAATGAAGTGCAAAGTGGTTTGCATTTTAGCTTCTGCGGAAGCCTCCCCCTCAATGCCACCAACCCCAGGAGTGACAAGGGGGATGCAGTGCTTCCCCACATCCCGGAGGGCAGCGAGGGACTCTGTCTCCATCTCTATGAAATTCCAAATCCCCAGAGGCTGTGAATCCCCGCAGCACGGCTCTAACCTGTGTCATTTCAGCTCAAAAATCTGCCTGGGTGTGATGACGAGTTACCTCTCCTAAAAGCAAGCCAGATGGATGCTGCTAAAACACAGCAGTGCTTTATCAATGTCACCCGTCAGGGCTCCACTGTCTTTCCCTACTCGTGTCAACAGATCGTGATGGATAAATGAAATGCAGGAAATGTGAAAATGCTCACTGAATCCTGATTTGGTTTTTCTCCTCTTAAGAGGGAAAAAAAAGGAAAGGAGGACCCAGGGCAAATGCACTTGGGGAGGAAGCTGGGCCAGTCAAAGGAGGGACAGAAGTTTGCTGAAAGGCAGAAGGACCATTAGAGACCAGCTGGGGCAGCAAGGAGAGCCCAAGCAAGGGCACGAGGAGGGTGGCATTTACCTACAATCCAGGGCAGCTCGGGAGGGAGGTCTTCACACCTGGGCACAGCAACTGTCACAACACAATTCAACTACCAGCGGATGTGGAGAAATAAAGGTGAAAAGAAGAGCATGTACACACACAGACATGGAAATAAAACAAAAACAAAACAGGGAAATTAAAATCAAGTCAAAAAGAAATACACAAAAAAAAAAAAAAAAAAAAGAAAACAACTCCAAAAGATAAAGCATATGCTAGCCCTTAAGAGCTCTTGAAATCCACTTTTTCAATCTAAAAGAAGTAAATGAATAAACAAAAAGGTAACAAAAATAAATATGGAGACAGTGGCATCATGAGGAAGGCAGTGGAAGAGGGAGGTGGAGGAGGAGGTACCTGTACATGGGGACGGTGACGGTGCGTTCGTAGTACTGCCAGGTGGAGTGCAGGTCCGTCCGGGACAGGTTGGTGGCATAAAATCTCCAAGCCGCCTGCAGAAGAGACACGGTGGGACTGTGGACCCAGGCACAGCCAGCACTACCCTCGGTTTTATAAACCTCAGCCAACACCAAGCCCTCCCTCTGTTTTCTGTGGGATGGATCTGACGTTTTGCCTCTTCCTTGATTCGCTACGTGACAAATTTGGGGTGGTACCACGATACTCCTGACTCTGTGAGCCCAGCTAAAAATGCTGTGGGTACAAGGCACTTGCTGTCAGGTTGAGGTGAGGTATCAAGCCAGTGTTGTGGCCCATTAGGGAGTTAAAAAAATTGAAGAGGAGCAGGGGAATGTAAAATGACTAATTTCAAATCTCCAAGATATACACCAAGGCCAGCCTTCTGCGCAGACATCTGTCATCATGAAGAAAATGCTCTCAAATTGTGACTTTATATCAGTATAAATATTCTCTTTGGGGGAAAAAAAAAAAAATTGGTGAAAACAGACTGTCCTAATGCATTTGTCTTGCTGTGCTGGGCTGGATTTCATTCCTCTTCTCCCCCAGATTGCCTACCACATATGTTATTTTTCCATGGCTGATTCCCTGGCATTTATTTCCAGACACGACCAGTCACCAGCTGCTGTCTCACACCTTACACACACAGCCCCATTTTTCACCTGCCCGTCTCCTCCCCAGCTTCTAAAAGCCTATTAGACTCCCCAAAATCAGGACGATGTAACCCCAAGGCTCCTTGGATGTGATCCTCACCTGAATCAGGCCAGCTGCTGGGTTTCGCCTCTTCTCAAAGTGTTTTTGTCGATGTTGCTCTTGAACCTTCAGAGCAAACCCCGAACCCAAGATGCCCTGGGGAAGAGAAATCTGCAGTTAGCAAGGCGTTAGCTAAGATTTCACTTAAAAATTGAAGCCAACTTTCCCTCCAAAGGTTTGTTCTGGCTCATTTTTTGCTTCAAATGTACAGGGGAAGGAAGGACAAGGCTTCAACTGAGGCAGCCCTGGCAGACACATTCCCTGTGAAGGGGCAGCAGATTGTGCTGGAGCTCACTGGAATTGCTGCTTTTCCCAAACTACCTCCAGACGGCTGATAAAATACAAAATAACCACACTGCGCTGGCATTCAGCAAATTATCCCCACGGGGGAAAATCGGATCCATGCAACACACTGAGATGCGCTGCAAACAGGACAGGGATAATTTGCTGAAATGGCATAATCACCCCTAGGAACAGCCCTTTACAGGGAAAGAAAGTAGTTTCAATTCCATCAACATTTGTGCAGTGCCAAATCTAGGCTTTCCGTCCCATTCACTTCTAAGTATTGTGTCTAAGCTGGGGATATTCAGGCAAGGGATATTCCTCTTTTCCCTCCCCCTTTTTTTTTTTTTTTTTTTTTTTTGTTGACTCAACAGCCGCGGAGCAGTCGCAGCTGGGATGTCCCTGGGTGCATCCCACCGCGGGACGTGGCTGTTGTGTTGCCACCAGCTCCAGGGGCCGGGGCCAAGGCTCGGCCGAGCTCAGCCCCGCTCAACGAGACGCTGCAGCCTCCGCTTACGGCAGGAAGGGCGAAGAAGGAGACGCCGATGAGCGTGAACGTCGCTGCCAGCAGCCGCCCGTTCCAGGTCTGCGGGTACTTGTCCCCGTAGCCGATGGTGGTGAGAGTAATCTGCAGGGAGGAGATCACCGCACAGCCCTTGGTCAGACGGCCTTCAAACCGAAATAACAGAGCCAAAACTCCCGCAACACCAGAGTGGAAGAACCAAGGTCACCGCATGCCTTGAGGTGACCGAGTCGAGGTGCGGCTCGGGCACCCGGGAGGACCCCGGCTGTTTTGGGACGGGCACCTCCGTGGGGGAGCAGCGATGCCCTGACACCCAGGACAGCCATGCCACCCTCCCTGCTCGAGGCGCTGAGTTTGCGCGCCAGTCGGGAGCGTTTTCGTGCCTTTAGCTGACACAGAGAGAGCTGCCATCTGGTGCGGAGGCTTGCGGCAGCTCGGAGCCTCCCCCGGGAGACGGGGTTGCGCCTTCGGCAGGGAATGGGAACCAGCACAGTTCGCCCCAAACTCCCTTTCTGCACCTCACAAAAGAAGGCAGGGCTTAATTGTGTCCATAAAGATCTGATGCTGTTTATTCCTAATCTTCCCAGCACTGCCGGCTTCCCTTCCTATTTAAAAACAGCATATTAGTCCAACAGGATGAATTATAGATGCTTCACGTAACCTAATTCAGGGATGTTTTTTCCTTTCCTCAGTTTTATTGCAATGCACCAAGAGAGTGCTGGCAAGCTGCTGTGAGTTTTGGGGAAGGAGTTGAGAGATTTGCTGGAGACCAAGAATCCCCTGAGCTCCAAAGTGCAGGAAAAGACACGTTTTCCTACTTCAGTCCATGGATATCACTAGTGGGAAATGTTGGATATCCCCTAAGGCTTACGAGAGGATTTGGAGAGCCTGGGATTGGCAGGGCAAGGCAGGGAGAGATGGTTGGACTAGGAGCATCTGCTTTGAGACTTCTGCTCAAGGGATCCCAATGGTCACTGTGACAAGTTGAAAGTTGTCCCCATCCCAGACTCTCCAGGGACAGAGCTGGCCCCAGGGATGGGAGTTGACACCGTGCTGATGTGGCTTTGGAAACCTCATGCATTCAACTTAAAATAAAATCACTTTTACACAAATGGAAGTACGATCCCAAAGCACTGTTTAATTGGACCCACTAAAAGCCCTATCAATTAGATGCCATTTCAACAAAGCGGTTAGAAAATGCATCTACATGGCTATTCCTTACTGAAACACAAAGTCAAAGGAATGCTCTCTCCATAATCACTGCAAAGTTGATTTACAAATTTTTTATAATTTTTATAGACAACAAGGATTGGATCCACTAAGATCAGACCAAGGGATGAGTTTCTGAACCTGAAATTTGATTTATTTTGCCCATCTCTTAACATCTATGTATTCTCGATCCGTGAGTTGGACAATAACAAAACCTGTTTATTTTAATGAAGCTCAAATTTTACTCTGAGATCTTCAGTGGCAAAACAGTCCAATGTACCTCCATGTCCTGAAACGAGCCTCTGCCAAAGGCTCGCACAGCCTGGGAAGCAGGAGGGACAAATAAATCTGCACATGGTTCTCCCTAGACTGAGCTCTAATCTGGGTTGTCACTTTTTCCTCATTGTTTATTTTCTAGTTATGTCAAATTGGGCTTTGTTTTTATTTTTCTGTCATAACCAAGGAGCTTGAAAAGCAATTTACTGCTTCTTTCCCGTTGTTGGAACTGAGGAGCTGCTTGATCAGCTGATTCCTCCCCAAGCCTGTTACTGGGATTTGATCAGATCTGGGATTTTCATTACATGCTTTGTAATCAAGGCCAAACTAGCGCCACAGTGTTAGAGCAGAAGAACAATAACACAAGAAGATTAGAACGTCATTAATTCTCTCTTTGTTAATCGGGTAATCCAATAATTCACATGCACATGCACACACAGAGCAAACTAAAAGTATTGCCCTTTCCTCCTCTGTCAGCAAAGATGTGAAAGAGGAGTGCTTTCAGTGCTGAAGTCTTTCTAGTACTTAGACCCTATCAATTTTATAAAATTTATTCCAGCATGTTAACAGCATGTTGCCCAAGTATGACTATAAATAATTTAAAGGCAGCAATCCTTGTCAAAATGATGATCAAAGAGCCCTGTAGCGTGATGCCTTTATCTGATCTGCCTCTACTGTCGTGACAGAGCTAAATCCCACAATGGAGAGCACACAAATTCCCAGTTTCCTTGCAGCTCCAGCTAATCCAAGAAATGCGACCCCCTAACATTTTCTGGGAGGTTTATTTAAGAAAAAGAGTAGCCTGAAGCCATTTAATAAAAATGTTAACTAAGCACTGTGTCAGTTCCTCACATAAGTGATAGAAGATGGAGGGTTAATGGACATTTTAATAACCAGCAGCTGTTCTATGAAAATTACTTACCAGACCCCACCAGAGTGCATCTGCGTATGTATCAAAGTGCTCATTTTCTCCTTTCTCGGCCAAGTATACCAGGAAAGAGGCCAGAATGAGGCACAGGAAGCCAATATACCAGGCAGTAATCAGCTCCTGCAAGATCATTAAGGGATAGAAGAGAATAATTGCAATCCTGGTGCGCATCTCCAAAAGCTGCGTTGTTTGCGGTTGGATCTAAACTTTCCCTGCATTTGTTTAGACTTTGGGGCTTTGGTTGGAGACCAGTAGTGCCACTTTTTGAGATGGGACCATGTGGTCCTGCCACGCACATGGGGAAATCCCCATCCTGAAGACCCCATCACCTAAACACATACAGCAAACGGAGACAGAAAGGGAATGTTAATAGCTCTATTATTTCAAGATGTGGAATTAAGACTAAAAAAAAACACTATATTTCCCCAGTTCACACAGGGAAGTGGGGTTAAAACTGAAATGGAACCCTCACACCCCTGGGGACTCTGCTTAGGGCAAGTCCCTTCCGCTAACTGGGGAGGACCTACAAAGCTAGGGTCTAGACACAATATCCTCCGATTTCAGGGAGGTTTTAATTCAGAATTCACAGAACTGATTGGTTTTGGATGAAGGGTGGACAAGAGACCCACAAATTCCCTATGATTTTTACATAGTTGTCGACAAGCTGGCTAAGCTTTTTAATGTAAGAAGTACAGGAAACAGGAGAAAATTCAAATTCATAATTTGGCAGCAGGAAAGGAAAAAAAAAAAAAAAAAATCAACAAATTCTTCCCAAACCAAAGAAAGGCCAAGGTGCCTTACACCAGGGATCAGTTCTATGATGATCTCATGTTGGGAAGAGGAACCTGGCATGATAATCACGTCTGTGAGAGGCTGCTGCTCGCAGGATGCGCTTTCAGAAATGCATCCGCTCTGAAGCGTGCATCCTAGACAAAGAGCACGCAACACCACCAGTGCTTAATGAGGCTGCTGGCTAATTGCTAACCCTTTGAAATGAGCTGTATCAGCGTGCAGGTGGTCTCTATGTTCCAAGGTATTCTCTGCAAACGTCTAAACATCGCTCCCTTCTCTGCTTATGTCTCTGATTTTGCACTGCTACCCGTGTTACCTACGGCGTCTTTCCAATCTCCCCAGGCCTGGGAGATGTTTGGGGTGGAGAACTGAACCAAAGGAGCATCTCTGGCGAGGGAAACGTGAAGAGCAACGTCGTGGCCTTGCTTGGGACTTGCTCACCTTACTGTGCGCGTAGACCACAGAGCCCAAGAGCTTCCAGGTGCCGCCCCGCCGGTCCATGCGGATCATTCGCAGGATCTGCAGGAACCTCAAACTCCTGAGCGCCGAGGTGGCAAAGACGTTCCCTTGGGACCCCGCCGCCAGCACGGCGATGGACGCGATCAGCACCATGATGTCTGCAGGAACAGAGGGCGTGGAGAGCTGAGGAAACGCTGCCGAACCACTACCAAAGGGGACGGCACTCCTACTGCCACTGAGAGCAGAAGGCTGTGCGTGAAAGGGATCTTGTTTCAGTTGTATCTAGTGCTGGAAGGACACAGCATAAATCTTAACCTGGATGAAAGGCACCACTGCACACTTTATGGAAACATCCTAGTTTCCTTCTCCGCACTCATCATTCCCATAGAAAATGCGTCAAGTACTGCAAAGCCTGAATTCCAATATGATGCAGTGTCAATGCTGCTAAACGGGATTAAATCCTTGCAAAATGCATGCCCTCTTCTAATCAGCCACAGCTGTCTCTTACACACCGCTGTTCAGAGTGTGAATTCCCCCACCTAATTTAGGAATGAAATCCTAGAGGTCAACCATAGCAATCCTAGGGTGCTCATGGACCAAGAACAGCCAAGAAAAAAAGTTATGCTCTTCATATCCTAAATTTCAGGATCCTGAAAACCTTCCTCTTCCCTGGTTTTCTATGCAAATTTTATAGAAATGCATTTCTGTGGAATAAGCTAAAATGTCGCATATGACCATTGCCAGCTCCCAGACATCTGAAAGCAGGATCCATAGCAAATGGCACGGCCTCTGCCCACTCCTTACCCCATTAAAAATAAGTGCTGTGCACAGATGGCCCCTTTCACAAGAGGCTTGCCGAGTACTTTGCAAACAAGAATTAATTAAGTCTCATAACTCCCTTGTGAGGCAGCTCACCAGCACCAGGGAAGGCAAAGTGAGACAGAGAGTTTCAGTGACTTGTGAGCGATTTGGTGTCGAGGTTGGACACAGGATGGCAGGATCCCAGCTCCTACGCTCAGCTTCTCCTGGCTAAACCCCCCTTCTCTGGCTGTGGGCAGTTGTCGGCAATGCCTGGGGTATGCAGGGCAACAGGATGGCTCCTAGGTCTGCAGAAAACAGGGTGAGCCTCGTGTAGAATAACAAAACCCACGTCCATGAATCCATGGACTTTTGCCTTTGAAGTAAATGAGGATCAACCCCCCGAATTCATACAAGAAACCAGAGCACCACGCAAGCAGGCACTTGCAATAGCCATTTTGGTTTGGGAAATCCCATGCAGGGAGGCAGGTCTTACCGATGACACAGAAAGGCTTGCGGGCAAATTTTAACCTTCCCCTCCAGCCCCGGTATCGGCAGCAGCAACCGGCTGCCCAGATCCTCACAAAGTATTCGACCCCGAACACCACGATGGTGACGATTTCCTGCAAGGGAGACAACGCCGTTAGCTGAGAAAGAACTGGAGGTGGACGTGATGGAGAGCATGCTCCAGAACTACGTACAAACCCTTCAACCTCGACTCCACACACCTCAGAAAATCTCTCACAGAGCTGTCTGCATCATTAAATGGAGAGCTCGGGCTTGAAAATATTGTCAGGTCTTTGCTGTTGTGTTTTCCATCACCCTCCCTCGGGGTGGTGAGAGGTACTGCATATTGTAACCATGAACTAGAGTTTTACACCTTCTCGTATTGTGTTCGTGCCCCCCGTCACAGCACTGACGAGTACCTGCTTATTTCCCCACCATTAGTCTCCAGGATTTGACTAGGTTAATGCCACGCAGCTCAGGGAAGATCAGAGATGGGAGTCACCAGCTACTCCACCCTAGGACTTTTCACGGAGGATTTGAGCTTTTTCCCTAGAAAACTGGATTGGCTGTCTCTGTGTGCTGGGCTATCTGAGGCAGGGGTGGCGGAGATCCTCTGCCTCTTGATGCCAAGCGAGCACGATGACGCTGTGCATCACAGCTCTTCCCATTGCCACCCGAATAACCTGCACACGCTCCCTTCCCTCTGAATTCTTTACTAGCGGCGCTTGCCTCAGCTCTCTCATGTGGCAAACCTGATGAAGCCCTAATTAGTCTGCAGAGCCTTTTGGTGTCGATGTAGGGCAGGGACTGGGGAAGAGGAAGAAAGATAAAAGGAAAGGAGACACGTGAACCCGGCAGCCCCACGACCTGGCAGTGCGTGCAGGATCTCTGCTGGCTCCCAATGGCAGAAGCCACATGGCCACTGCGAGGGATGCCGGGCTATTTAAGGAACAAAACTCTGAATTTTGATGACAGATCAAATAGTCGCAGGGATGCTATAGTGTGGGAGAGGAGGCAGCTACGCAGGCTGGTCCCTATGCAGAGCATCCGCAGCTTTAGATACGGGGGGCTGTTGGGTATCAAGCTGCTTTTCAGTTGGGATCAGTCCTGCTACTGTGTTTTGCAACTAAAGATAAATTCAGAAAAAATAAAAAGTTTAGGAAGAAGGGTTTTAAAGGATACTTAAAAATATTTTTAGTTTATTCCTGATACAGCTTTCTCCTCACATTTTTCCTATTTCTTACCTGCAGATCCCAGTGGTTCCCGTCTCACAAGCAACAGTTTAAATTCTTGCCTCAGTTAAACACCTCCACCCCTATGTTTCTGTGTGGTTTTGACTTTGTTTTAATGCCTCACTGATGGCTTCGTTTGCAACTCCACACTTACCAGGATGTAAAGGGCCCCTTCTGAGCTGTTCTGGTACTCATCAATGGTCGAAAAGACAGACAGCACCAGGCAGGAGAAAACTAGTAGAAAACTATAGAGCACAAAAAGAAAAAAATAGAAAAAGAGAGAGAACGTCAGTCTTCAGAGCAGGAATTTTTCACACTCCTTCAGACTAGTCCAGAGAGCATTTTTGGACATATTTCTCTAGGAATGTTTACTGTGCTGCTCCTACAATACCAAGTAAAAAGGGAAAGTAAAGTTCCTAGTTTTCGTAACTGGAAGAGTTATGTGTGGATGGACCCACTGGACTGTTCCCAGTTTGGCCAGCACCAATCCCATTGGCTTCCCAGCTGGTGGCTCTGATCACCTCTGACATTATATCCCCAAGGAACTGTCAGTTCTCACTGCAACACTCTTTTAACAAGCATGCAAACAAGCAGGGAAATTTGTTATTGTGAGAACGAGCGACCAGACTGCTGATGAGCAGGAGCACAGGCTGAACACTCTTTTATTTACCATGAAATAGGGGAGAATCTCAGAAACCCCTTACAGTACGCGCCCAGGTCTCATTGACGTCTACTGTCCCAAAAACAGCCTCGGCAATGTCACACCACCCCGTCATTCCCAGGCTGTCCCCATCAAAACCGCCCACGCTCTGTGCTTTCCACGAATGCTGGATGTACTAATGCAAATCAAAAGGCACAAAATGAATGACAGGAGCTCGACTCTCTTCTGACACTCGACGCCTGAGTCTGCAGCTACAGAGGTGCCCTGGCATCTGCTCACAGACGGAGAAGGTTTCCACCAGCCCACGATGCCCACTGCTTGCTCAAACAGAAGGAGGAAAATTAATTTACTAAAGATCGATTTACTGATACAATAAAGTAGGCCAGCGCAAGGAGAAACTAAAAGCTGCATACTTTAAAAGCATTAAATAATTCATCGGTCTGGCTTTGTCTCACATTCCTACAAACTGCATTTTGAATATTTATAAGGTACGGTTCAGCTGGTGGGTGCTGTTCCTTTTTGTTGCATAAAGAAAAGGAGCTTCGCACCACCAGGTCGTGCTTGTGGCTTTGCAATGACCATTAATGTCACAGTAACAAGTAAAAATAGGGGGATTTGCAGTATTTATTTGAACCACAGGCTGAAACGTCCCTGCCTGCTGGAGGTAAGGGACCTTTTGGAGCCATCTCAGCGAAGACTGAGCTTTGTCAGCAACAAGATGAATTCGGCACAGACCAGGTAAGGACAAGCTCCTGATTTCTCACTGCAAATCTCTTCTCACACCGGGTCTGGTACCCAGAGACTTGAAACAACCTCAAGAGAGCAAGAAAATGTCCTGTGCAATCCCACCCACGGTGTCCCTTGGTGTCTTCTCTGGGTCTCACTTAAAATGTTTTTTTCTCTCCAAGCTGGTCTTTTAAAACCTTTGCCATAAACGAGCAGAGCCCTGCATCACTGGAGGGAAGAAGCTGGGTCAGGCAGCCCTGCTCCCGGGATGGCCCAGATTCTGCTGCAAACTTCTCTGTTGGAGTGAGAACAAATGAATAATCAATGAAAGAACAAAGAGAGGAGGAAACCAAAAAAAAAGGTAATGGAAAAGGATCAGGGGGGAAAGAAAATCCTAGATTTTTCTAATTAAAGATGTAGAATGTGGGTTGTATGTTTGCCACCAAACATCATAGTAAAATGCCTGAGGATGTGCTGAAAGCAAAGTCCCAATATCAACACAGACTTGCACGCTGTGTTTGCTACGGTGGCCACTCAGATGCAGAATGACACCACGCTCAAATGATGGGTCCTGGCAGGGACAAACACCACAAGAAAGTGGATTCCTGTATGTTAAGTTTATCACTAGACATATATTGATGGAGCAAGAAAAAAAGAAAGGAAAAGAAATCTCTTTATCACTTCGAATCCCAAGGGTGGATTGCGCAAGCAGTGGTTATGTGAGGAGAGCTGGGGCAGCTCCGGGTGCTGCTGGGGCAGCGGGACGTCTCGGTGCTGCTTCTTCCCTTCCCCAGCGCATCACTGCAGCCTCATCCCTGGCCTCTCCGTTCTCCTCATCTCCCCAGGGCCAGCTCAGTGCTGCTGTAATTTTGGTTCTGCACTCCCCAGGTCCCTCACTGCCAGGGAGACCTGACGCAGATCACGCTTGCAGGGCCAGAATTAATTACAGCAGTGCCGAGCATGGGAGGCAACGGGGAAGGTGGCAGCTGCTTCAGTGAGGCATGGGAGCTCCACGACCAAATCCCACGTGGACCAAAATCTCCCCATCTCAGTCCCAATGGGGATGTTCAACCACCAGGTAAGGAATGGTCCCTGCCAGCAAGGGATGCAGGCACTGGTTTGTCACGGGGTAAGCTGCCCAAGCATCCCGAGATAGCTCCACAGTGATGCACAGCTCCTCTGCTTGACCCTGTGGTGATCCACAAACCTCTGGGAGGCTGTAAAAGGAGACTAAGAGAATGAAACCTTTCTGCAAGGAAACTGAATTCAGGGGGTTGGGGTCTGTATGGCTCCTGGGAGGACCTGCTACGGTTGGGGGCGGGGAGTGGAATAAAAAAGCTGAGAAGTGCGTCCATACTGGAGATGATGTGTATCCTCTGAGCTCTCACAGAGGGAGAGCAGTGGGAAACAGGAAGGCTGACTCTGCTTTAATTTCACCTAATCTACCCAGACAGCACAGGAAAGGGCTCCAGATAATAATGGATAGCTAGGGAAAGTAAAACAGGCCAATAAATAGTGTAGAGGTTGGGATGAATCTAATTTTTAATGCTACATATCTAATAACGGCAAATGATGTCTGCAGCCTGACTCTGGGTAATGTTAATGTGCAATAAGGAACATTAATTATGTCCCATCTAATGATTTTTACATTAAAGATGCCAATTCTGCTTAGAGCTTTGGAGAAGACAATATCCTCCTCCCGAGCAGACAGGGGCTGGATCCTACACGATGCATGGCTGGAGCCGGTATCAGCCCCTCCCAAACCCAGGCCAGGATGCAAAGGGAAGCGTGTGGGTTTGGATCAGCCTCCTCCATAGAGTGATGGCGCAGAAAAAGCTGGCTCCAGCCTCCCAGAGCCACTGGAGAAGGACATGTCACTGCACCTTCTCACCCACCACCCATTCCTATGAGCAGCCAGCACCTCCTGCTGCTCCAGCATCCCCCACATCCCTTCCTTAGACCTTTAAGCTCAGCCAAGACTCAGCTGTACAAATCTGACTGCTGCTAATACTAATAAATCCGAAGTCCTCCAAAGTTTGGCTTTACATCCGAAGGTTATGTTGGCTTAAGACACCCGTGGCAAGCTTCTTATTACAATTTGTAAATCCCAGCACAGGATCTGCATATCCAAATTTTATATCCACTATGCTGCAGGTTAGCAGTGGAAAGAGAAATGACTGAAGTCCCCCTTCAAAAAAAAAAACAAAACAAAACAAAAACAACTTAAAATTACTTGAAACAGAAAAGATTTTCCTTCTCTCTCTCTTTTTTTTTTTTTTTTTTTCCCCCAGTAAAAGCATATGATGGAATCATCATAAAGCTTTTCAGGTTAATCATCTAATTTGCCTTCCCAAAGAAACCCCCTTGGAATCTATACACCCATTCACATAGGAATTTTAAAAGACCTCTAAATTTATTCCTGAAATACCTGTATTCAATTAACATTCGCTGACATGCAAAAACATTGGGCTTCCTCTGATGGAGCACTAATAATTAACAACCGCACTCCTGGATGCGATAGAGAGATACAATATAAGGAGGTGGCACAAGCTTGTTACAAGTCACTGTGCTTGTTGTATGCTTCGCTGGCTTCCTCTGGAATTGGGAAAGGGAATTAATGATTTGTTTAATTAGGAAGAGCAAAGCTGGAAAGGAAGAAGTATTTTATTACAGGTGTTTGAGAGCTGCACAATGGAAAACAAAACATTTAAAACACTTTAAAATTACTTTGGGGATGTAAACAAGGCATTGATAATTGTGCTAAAATAAAACCAAAATACTTATGGGCAATTCATCTGTAATCCCAGCAATCCATTTGCTGTGGTGTCTGTAAAACGCTGGCATTCAAGTACATAAAACTTCAGTGTAAATCAAAGGCCATGAAAATGCAGCAATGACCATAAACAGAGGTGAAAGGACATCTATACCGAAGAGAAACAGAGATTGTCAAATGCCTTTTACCACTCAGAGTGCCTCATAATCAGAACGGGAGTATTTACAGCTCAGTTTAAGTCTCCAGTGAATCAGAAGTAAAACTCTGATAATGCCATGACTTTTCCAGGGATAAAGATGTCGTATTGCACCCACCCTTAGCCAGAAGCATCCAGGATCTTTAGTCATGCAAGCAACCCTGCTGTGATTTTCAACCTTACTATTCCTTTACAAGGCTAAACACACAAGCCTAAATGCCTCACTCCGGTTTTCCACATCCCTCAGTCCCAGTCAAAACCATCACCCAAGGCAACTTCTGTCACTAGCAGAGCTGAAAATAGAAGCGGGGAGTCCTGCCTTTCAGTCCTGTGCCTTAATAAATACACTCCTTTCTAAAAACAGCTCCCGACGGGGTCTCATTACCCGCAGATTCAGCCCTGCCCATGCCCAACCCCACGCCCTCTCCTGAGCCCAGCTGAGATCTTGCTCTTTGGAGGAGCCTGGAGGCTCCCTGGGCACCCATGGGGGTAGAAAATAGGGTTTATGGGCAACACTCAGGCTGGCTTCAAGGCAGGGATTCTTATGGTTTATAAACTTTTTAATAAACCTTTAGCAAAGGCCTCTTTGGGACAATGTTAATAGCTTCTGTGCCTTCTCGGTGTGCTGAGATGATGGCTGAACAGCCCCGATAAGAAGCACCCTGTTTGTACAAAGCCAGAAAGTGTACTAAGGATGGTGGTGCAAATGGAGCAGTGGAGCATCTCCAGAGGACCAAAGCAGTGTCCCGGAGGAGGCTGCGGTGCGGACAGCAAGGTGCATTAAATGGTGCTCTGGGAGATGGGAATTAATCGGGTTACAGAGCAATCCCAAACCTGTTTTGGTAGCAGCACCGGGATGGGAAGGAAAATGAGAGGATTTACTTTCTAG